ATAAAATATGCTAGTAAGGAAATCAAGAGTGACATGATAAAAAATAGCGGGGGTGGAGAATGTGGGAGATGTCCTTTTAGATTGAATAGACAGGGGGAAAGTGTCTTCAGGTATCAGCTTAATGTTTTCAACTAAGAAACATTAAACTGAGACCTGAAGGATGAGAGGTATACTGGTGAGAGGGGGAGTTGGGAAGTGGTGGAGGGAGGAAGTCATTCTATTGGGGCAGAGTGAGCATAGGGTAGGGGTTTATGACATGGCACATACCAAGTCACACAGAGCCTTGCTCAGGTATGAGAGGTCAAAGGGGAAATCACCAAAGGGCTTTATGCAGGAGAATGATGGAATCTAATTTGTGTTTAAAAAACTTCTCCAGCCTCTCTGCAGATGATGGATTGTAGAGACAAGAGCAGTGCTGGAATATCAGTTAGAGGCCAGCTGAGGCAAGAAATCATGATGGTTAGGACTCTGGAAGAGGCAACGGAGATAAAGAGAAGAGATGGTCATGCCAATGACTGCATGTTGAGCTGAGGGAAGAGTAATGCAGGTGTTTTGACTGAGCAGACTGGTGAATGGTGGAAACATGTGTGGAAATGGGAAAACTGGGAGGGTAACAAGCTTGTCAGGGTGGAAGACAGCAGCTAAGTTGCAGACACCAAGAAGAGATGTCAAGAAGACAATTAGATTCGTAATTTAGGGGTTAGAAGTAGTCATCCTGTAAGCAGAGGATATCACTAGTTGAGAAGACAAAGGTAAAGGAGAAATTTGAATTCTGGGAATGAGATTGGGGCCACTCTAACTATTAGAAAATTATTAGAGGAGGAGTCAATATAGGTGGTGATTGAAAAGCAGAAGATGGAAGACGATTTTGGTGGGGAGAAAAATGAACACAAGGGACTGCGTTGACATGGATTGATGTGGAGAGCAGGGGCTGAGCCTGACGGGATTCCAAGCTGCCATTAAGGATCAGGGCCATTTATTGGTAATATCAAGGATTTTAGTTTTTGCCCTAAGAGCATTGTGAAGCTGTATAGGTTTTTAAGGATGTAGAATGGGTGGGAGGTAGCACTTAAAACTGTGTTTGTACATCTGAAAAAAAATCACTGTATGTACAATGTGGACAGCAGGAGAGGTCTAAAAGGGATCCAGTGAATTCAGTTAGAAGGTTCCAGCAAGAGATAGTGTTTACTTGTAGTCAGGAGCTGTGGGATCAGTTGAGAGAAGTGGGCAGATTTAGAGACAGGAGATAAAATCTGTAAGACACATTGGATATAAAGTGCTTTCTTGGTTTCTGGTTTGTGTAGATGGATGGTGGTGTTATTCACTAGAAAAGGACTAAGTTTGGGGACAAGATTATGACTTCAGATTTGGTCGTGTTGAACTTAAAGTGCCTTTATGATACCCAAAAGGATTTGTGAAGTAGGCATTTCTACAGGGATCAATAAGAAACTTTAATTATAATTAAAAGGTTAGCAAGTTGGAATTTGGCAAGAGCCATATGAATGGATTTTTCTTATAAGAATGTGTTAAAAACCTCATTCAGAGTCTGAGCTACAGGCTATTTTGAAAGAAACTCAATTTTATTAATTAAAACTATCCATAGTCATTAACTAGCTACCATTTATTGAGTTCTTATCATGTAGGCTTGCTATATGTCAGGCCTCTACCAAGCATTTTACATACATTATCTCATTTAAATATCTCAACGCTGTAAGTTAGGTATTATTATCTACATTTTATGGATATGAAAACTGAGGCTGAAGAAGTTAAGTTAATATTCCAAGTTCATAAAGCTAGAAGTTCCCGAGGCTGGGTTGTTTGATTCCGTTGCATATGTTCTACATATTACAAATATTAAAAACAAAATTTCTTACTATCAGTCCTGAGGAGAACTTTAATGAGTTTATATGAATGATGAGTAATTAACATAGTGCATTCATTTTATGTATTTTTTTCTTTTTTAAACCTTTAAAAATTAAAAAATAACTTAAGACTCACAAGAAGTTGCAAAAATAGTAGAATTTACATATACCCTTCATTTAGTGTTCCCTGATGTTAACATCTTATATAACTGTAGAACATTAGCAAATCTGGCAAGTTGATATTGTGCAATATTAGCTTATAATCTACAGACCTTATTTAAGCCATTTCTTTAAACATTGCTCTACAATCTTCCTTATGATAAAAGTCAGTTGAATAAGCATTATGTTATCTTATGATATGAGCATATTTCACCCTGGACCCCTTCACAAATTTTCACCAATGGAATTAAAGATCTGAATTTATTTGTATATGGTTGATTTATTTTATGAATAATCATAGCATGAAATCTACAGCAAAAATGTTTTATGTAACTTTGTAATCTTACACTCATTTCTTACCCTATCACTCAAAGTAAACTTAGCAAGATATTTTAAAGAAAAAATTATTATTTTTTGTTCTATGTTATTTCTAAATTGCTCTTTATGCTTGCTTGAGTTGATTTTGGGGGAGACTGATGAACAAAAATGTTGAATTGTTTTTAGATTGTAAATTAGCTAAGACAAGTTAGATTTGGATATAAAAAATTGTTTTTACCCATTGCAAGTATTATGGATATGTTTTACTTCTGAGTCTTTGGAGGGCACTCATGTATTCTTTGAAATTAAATGACTACTTAGTCAATCAACTTAATAAGTAAGGTTTGAATCTTATCCTTGCCATTGGAAAGTTTTATACAAGGTAGGAACAAGATTCAATTTAGACTTTAATTTGTGCTGTGTGAAGAATTGACTGTTGGTGATGGTGATGGGGAGAGGGCAAGAGTAGAGGTAAAGACCAAGAGTTAGGACATTGCAACTTCATTTTTTTCTACCAAAGACTAGTTTTCTTCATTTTATTGGGTGCAAGTGAACACAGAGCTGTCTGACTTCTTCCAGATTTAACACCAGTGAGGAAATTATTGTCTTCCCTCAGATTCACTCACAAGTTCAAGGGGATGATTTTGATGAATGAATGTGGGCTGGATTCTGTGCCCACCCTTTGGTGAAGGGTGTGTGGAACTTTAATCTGCAGCTTTTGCTAGAACCACATAATTAGCATGGTGGATGAAGAGAGCAGTTCTCAGAAAAGGTGTGATGGATTTCTTGGAATGAGAGAAGAGAGGACAAGTAGAAAGTATCTTCTACAGCTATTATTGTCATCTCCATCATTATTAACATCATTATAGGATTCAATTTCTCTAATGCCCAGAATAGACTATTGCCATCTGAGGATACTCAATACATTTCAATAGTACTGACAAAAACAAAGACCTTGTAAACTAGAGTTACAAAATAAAATGAATGAATGTTATTAGAGTTCAGAAGTCTGTAGTCAACCCTGTCCCCGGGATGAAAACATTTTGGGCCCTGTACACTCTGAGCCTGTGGTCATATACAGCTATTATCATTAATAACTCTCCAAAGTTTAGTTAATAATTTATTTAAGCTATACTTGCTTACATGTGAATATCTTATACATGGTTGTAAAAACTCTCAAGTTTGCAATGATTTGTTCTTTTTAACTAATAAGTATTATGTTTTGACTAAAGTATTATATTTTTCCTGAACTAGGTCAAATATTAATGTCAAAATAAAGGAAACAGTGCTAATATTTTGTTTATATTTCTTAAAGTTATCTTTAAAAAGACTTCCACAGTGATTATTTTTCATCTCTCTTCTCATATGGTTTCCATTTAGGTCTAATTATGTTACAAACAGGTCTTTTGTTTTTTTTAATTTATTGTTTCAGTTATATTTTGTTTAGAACAACAAACAAGTCTCTTTTTCTGTAGCTCTAGGAGTCTTAGCATTAATCAGAGGTTTGAAATAAAGCTGGGATTCTGATTCAAATAGTCATTAAGCTAAGCTTTAATTTATTTATGTCTTTTGGGGGGAGTAAGATTATATACCAACATCAGCAAACCCTCCATCTATTCAGTAGTCTCTTAAGGATGTCTGCTAGGGAAAATTTAAGTTATAATTTTTTAATAAAAATGACATACGTTTTATTTATGGTTATTTCTCTAGCACCTACTGTAGTGTTTGATGCATACTGGTTGCTCAGGCAAAGTATGTAGCATGATTGAATGCCCTACACACGGACCTTGTTGCTCGAATGAACATTTACCAGTAGAGAAGAATCTATTGTCAGAGCTTGCTAAAATTTGACTATTAACTAAAGAGACAGGTAATTAAAATAAACTTATGCTGTTGAAGTAGTGCCTGTAAGTAGTCATATTCACTAGGAAAAGCTAGGCGGCAGTGAAAGACTGAAGAGAAACTTTATTAAATGTGAGTTTAAGAAAAAAAAATGAATGAAACCCTCATTGTTTTATAATGTGAAGCACTATGTTTGGAACTTAGCACACTCAAGGAATACATACCCATCAGTCCCCACAATGAGGTTGGGAGGTTGGAAAGAAGGTATAAACATGGCCCTTTCCAGATGAAATTATGACACTGAGAAGAGTGAAATGATTTCTCAAGGTCCCACAGCTAGTATGTGACACAGCTAGGATTCACACGTGTTTATCTGACCATGAAGGTAGGAGCCTTAATGAATGATGATGAATTGTCCAAAAATGGCATTGTAGCTCTTCAGAAAATTAGAGAAAAGATCTCTTTGACACACCTTTATTATTCAAGCTGTTTTGCAGTCTAGAAGGAAGATTGCTGTTATAGTAAACCATGTGTTGACACGTATACTAAACTCTAGAACTTTTGCTATTCTTGTTCTTTTGCCTTGTACTTCGTGGCCTCAGAATATATCTGCTGTCTCTGTAATGTATACATTGTGAACCGGAAAAATGACTCCATTAGCATTAAACTTCTTGCAAAACTTTTGTTTACAGTCATGTCTTGATTTTTACTTCAATCTTCCTAGTGGGAGCTATTGGTCACAGTGGGGGTTTTTTTTTTTCTTGCTCTGGACATTGTTGCACTGTCAGTATATTTGATGCCATATTTATGTTGTTACAGAATTGTACTAGAGGGTGCTGTGGATTGGCGACCCCATGACAAAATCGTCCTTAGCTCCTCTTCTTATGAACCGCACGAAGCAGAGGTCCTCACTGTGAAAGAAGTCAAGGGCCACAACGTTAGAATCCATGAACGGCTCAAACACCGGCACGTTGGTAAGGCTTTGATTTGTGATTAAGGGAGGTGAATGAGCTAAGACAAGCATGTTCAGCAACCTGCTGGGGGGACCTTGGATCTGATTACTACTCAGAGGGGATGGGATAATACCTTACTGCTGCCCTAGACTGATTCTAGATGGTTTTATCACTATTCCTTCATTAATCTTATTGCCTAATTCTTAAAGGATACTTAGGCATAATACATAGATGTACATATATATATTTGCTTTTTATTTATAACAACAAGTCTAAGAGCAGAAGGGTTGAGAATCTTGTTCAAGGTCATGGAGCAGTTTTGTGGCTAAGCCAGAGTAAAACTAATGGGTACCAAGTTTCCAGTTCATTTCCTGGCACATTGAATTGTGCAATCCTTTAGAATATGGTAGTTATTGTAAATAATGTCTTCATTTTTCATACTTAGGAATGTGTCCTTCCTGACAAGTACATTTTATGTGTTGACTACTACTATTACTATTACTGAAAAGAAAGAAAGAAAAAAAAAATCCAGTACCTTTTTAAAAGGTGCTTTATGTTTTATACATTATACTCATCCAAAATGTACTGCATATAAATAACAAATCACAATAATCTTCATGACTCAGTTCTAGTAAATAAATCTTACCCAAAATATATAGCTAATCAGTATTAAACTTTGGAAATAAAAGGATTAGAGAATATGTGTTTGTCTCTTATACGTAAGAGGAAAATACATGCTTCTACCAGGTGTGTCTGAAGTTATGTCTAAGTCATGGTTCCAAGGATGATTTATTTTTTTTAAATGTGGCAGAGAAAAGAGAAATCTTCAGCAATTCTTGCCATGAGGATCTGAGGAGAAATAGAAACTGTGGGAGTGAGACATATTAGCAAGTGCTTAGTTTTCACTGCCAGGGAAGCTTCTTCAGGGAGGAGTGAGCTGGAGAACTATCATGCGAGGATGCTGCTGCTGCCACTGCCACCTGGTGCTGCTTCTTGCTTTCCTTTTGTTCTTAGACATTGCTGCTTTTGCTCTGTCACTGCCTTGATCGAGCTGGGATTCCTCACTCTCATGAAAGAGGTCCATGGACAGTGTGCAACCAAACGCTGAAGTCTCACACTACCTATTTAAGGGAGGAGGTTGGGGACCCCACTAATTGGACTGATCTGCCCTGACTTTCCTGCACTAGTGTCCTGTTCCAGTACCCACAGCTATTGAGAAGAAATGAATTTTTGCTCAAACACTCTCACTGTGATCCCAAAGAGAGATGAGTGAATGGCTTTTTCATTTCTCAGCTGACATTTGTGGAGAATGCCTGAGGAAAAGCAGACCTTAATGTTGGTAGGACTTCCACGGGGAAAGGAGTGTTTTCATTTGTCAGGTTTGCTGGGTCCCCAGCTAGCGATTTCTGAGATAGGTCTTTAAAGATGTTTTTCCCAACTCCTGTTGCCCCAGGAAGTGTCCATGTCATGGAGGATGGCCGGAACATTCCTTTAGCTGCTGAAGTTGGACTGTTGACCCGAAATATACGAATTAAGCCTGACACCTCATGTAGTGGGAGAATACTTGTGGGGTCCTTCAGAAAGTCCAGCAGAGAAGAATTTTCAGGTAAGTGAAATTTGAAGTTACTAAGCATTACCAATTGGGGCCTGCTCATCTGGGACACTCAGAAATTCCAACTGTGAGAATTTTCATTTATAAAGCAAAATGTTCAAGTTAGATGGTTCCTTTGTACTTGGAGAAGCTATGAATTTTCAATCCTAATCTGTGCTCAATTATCAGTGTGATGCTAAAATAATATACTAGCGATCAGCACATATGCACATTTTTACCTCAAAGAAAACATCTTCAGCAGATGTGAAATTTCCTCTGCTTTGAAATTATAGATGATTTAATGACCACTTCCATTTTATGTCTTTCCTGAATTTCTGTTACTCTTTCCCAGTAGCGTGCAATATCTGATGGCAGGCATCAGTTCTTGCTATAAATTAATGGTGTAAATTTAAATAAAAATGATTTCCATATTCTAGACTGCTTTAAGGATCAGTTCAATCTTTTTTGTTTCTTTCAAGTTTTAGCCCTCTTGGAATGCTGCAAAATTACTTGGTTAAGACCTCATTTCTTAAACTTGTGTTTCTGAAACATTATTTCAAAGTTGTTTCTTGATCAAATAGTTTGGGAATGACTGTCACTAGAGAGAGCTCCATCTTAGAAAGCCACTATGTACTGGAATATAATCAAGGCTCAAAGAAGGCCTAGAATAAGGAGTCTAACCACTTCCCAAATATATTCAGCATAGGGCAATTTTTATTGACACTATTATTTCACCAGCTGGATAAAGGACAGTATTTGGATCTTAAATCAAAAGTTTAGGATTTCTAGTCCATGGAACAAGCTTTTACACCATAAGCTCCAAGGATGATTTTTTTTTTTCACTCCAAGAGCTTCAAGGAACTCTTCAAGTTCTTATCAGAGGTGATTTGCCTTCCATGGGACATTTGGCAATATCTGGAGACATTTTTCTTGTCACAACATGGGGGATTCTGGTATCTAGTGAGTAATACCAAACATCCTACAATGCACAAGACAGTTACCCATAAGAAAGGAATATCTGGCTCCAAATACCAACAGTGTTGAGATTGATTCTAGAAGACTGAGACCAAGCCTGGGTCCTGATCTTGTAGAAATAAGACTCCTGCAGTGGATGAAGGTAGAGAGTCAGTGAGAAGAGAACAAGACAGAGCCCTAGTTAACTGAAACTGCAGGCCAAGCTGGAGTGTGGTCCCAGGAGCTGGACAGAGGGCTGATTCTTATAGTTGAACACCAAGTCAAATCTGCAGCAGGACTGACCTGATCCTAATCTCTCATGTTACTGACCCAGAGTTCCCTAAATCATCCCCTAAGAATGGATAAAGGGCAGTTCCTAAGAAAGGAAGCAAAATGTTTCATGTTTCTTGTAAACTAGAAACTGCTACTTTTCACATAGAGAAAATTTTATTCTATTTATTTCTAATATCTTCATGAAAGAGACATTTTATCTTCCTGTATAGAAACAGAGTTTGTAACACAATTACCTATTTATTGATATAACTCCTTCATGAAGTTATGAACTTGAAGGCGAGGATTAGTCTTTCATCTGTTTTCTACTATGATGACTGCTGTGTTTTAGGAGTTCAGTAAAAGTGAATGGATGAAATTAATGAAAAGTAAGAAAAGCCTTCCAACTAGTAAATGGCAGACTCTGAAGCTTGACTCTGAAGCCTTTGTTAAATAAACTTTTAATTTTGTAATAATTTTTGATTTATAGAAAATTATTAAGGTAGCATAGAGAGATTCTGTATATATTTCACCCAGTTTCTTCCATGAGTAGCTGACATAAAAATGTTACATTTGTCAAGACCCAGAAATTACTATTGGTACCATTAATTAACCTCAAGATATTTTTCCGATTTTATCAGTTTTTCCATGAATGTTCTTTTTATGTTTTAAAATTCAGTTCCAGTTTCTACATTGTCTTAAGAACCCTTGCATTTTTCTAAAACATAGTCCAGAGCCTGATCAGGTGGGATCTGCAAGTGTAGGTCAGAAATGCCAGGTGCTGATTGGTTATAGGGCACAAAAGCTGGCCAGGACTTATAAATACTACTTTGATATATCGGAAGACTCCATGATTCTTTTCCTTCTGATGAATAACATTCAGCAAGGTTTAATCCACTTGGCTAGAACACTTTTCAGCATAGAGATTTTCAAAAGAAAAAAGTAGGGAAATAGTTGTGAATAAAATCATTGTTTAATTCTTATTTAAATGCTCAAGACGTTTTAAGTATTTACAACTGATTGATCTTTAGTCATTGGTTAATATGCACACAAGTACAAAGATCTTGTACAATTTAAAATATGAATTATATCCATGCAAGTATAAAACATTAAAAAAAACCCCACCAATTAAACTAATAGTGACAGCTTCCAGATAGCTGAACACGTGGAGGTTCTTGGAGGGTGGTGCACCTGGTGAATGCTCTGTGAACTTAACTCATACCTCACCCTCTGCACCTCTTCATCTGTATCTATCTTTATAATAAACCAGTACAAAAATACTGATATGTTACCTTCACTGAAATTCTAGAACCACCTTGCATTCTAGAAAATAGGCTATATATGTGTGGACTCATTCTTGCACTTGGTATTCTTTGTGTGTCTTCCTCTACGGAGAGGGTTCAGCAGCCCTTTCAGCTTTGTGCTATTGGTGAGGAACATCACCAGACAGATAGCTTTTAAATGTTTTATTGTTCTCTGAATATTTCTACACTCTCTACCCATGCCTTCTCAATAGTGTCCATTGAGAAATTTAGATATGTTGGAATTCTGTGTCTGGTTACAAGGAGATGTACATGGTCTTCCAATTAGTCTGTCTTTCTCACGAGGGCTTGGGTCTTCATGGCAACCAATTTGTAAGGATTTCAGCTTCTCATCTATGAAAGGAGAGTGGAGAAGTGGAAGATTTAGGCTGTGTTACCTTTGAACCTTAAACACTATTACTAAAACACTGTGAGATTGAAAGTTCAAATGAATAACTTCCTCTACTTTTAATGAGAAAAGTCGCTTTATAGTTTACCTTTATCAGTACCTTAAACAAAAAAACAAAAGGAGCAAAAATTACAACATACCTAGCAAATGTCACACAACTAATGATTGGCACATAGCTATAACCCAGTTATCTGAATCCCAATGCAGAGTCACGACATTTTTTCTTCCATTTTCTTTAGCATGCTGACATGGGGTTAATAGTACAGCTATTCATCCATAGCCTAAGTTCAAGTCCTAGGTTATTAGGAAACCCCTCTCTGTCTCAACTTCCCTATCTGTAAATCGGGGATAATTATACCTACCTCACAGGATTTTTGTGAAAATTAGGAGGATCTCTCTTTCTCTGTCTCTATCTCTGTCTCTCTATCTGTCTCTCTCTCTTGCTCTCTGTTTGAGTTATAACAATACCTGGCACATAATGAATGTTATTTGAGAGTTGGGTGTTAAAGTTTTAAGTTCACTTCGTTATTATTTCATATTAATTCACTTATAATCATGTTATTATCAATTTTACTAAGATTATATCTACTGACTTATTGATACTTGGATTTCAAAATCAATTTACTGGCTATTTTATACTGGGTTCTTATAACATCTATTTAAAACTGTAAAAATAAAATCTTAATGAGTAATGAGACTAAATAATTCACCATTCTGTCCTGACATAAAAGACATAGAAAATCTTATTATTGTGAAAATAAAACAGTAAATATAGTTCAGCTATGTTAAAAAATATAGTAAATATTTTGTATGATCTTTAAAATGATTTTAAAAGTATGTGACTGCTTCTATCATGTCTTAATCAGAAGCATGTATCATGTTTCTGATGTCAACTGGACAGAAGTAAATTTTGGACTTATAGTCTTAAGAAATACCTGGTATATTTTGTAGAGTTGGCCATTATATTCATTCATGCAGTATCTCTGTGGGGATGGCTATGGCCTTTTCACATGTGTTCACTGAGACATTGAGAGGAAGACTCGACTTTGAGGTGGATGACCAGCAGGTCATATTCCCTTCATCCTTGTTCAGTTCATTGTTCTAACCCTTGGACAAATGCATAAAACTAGTAGTGCCCATCTCTAAAACCTGTCTCTTCAAAATTTCTTGTCTCTTTTCTCTATCCTATCACCATACTTTTCAGATTGTACCTGAAATTCAGGTGTTAATGTAATATCTCTAATGGTTCATGTTTTAAAATTGAGAATCAATGGTGTGCAATATAGTGCTGGTGCTGAGGATAAACTATTATATTTTAATTAAAATCCTACCTATCCCTATGCCCTAAAATGGGACATTCTTCTACTTTTTATGGGAAAGAAGAAAGTACCTGATGGCATGCGTTTTGTTTGCAGGTGTCCTTCAGCTTCTAAATGTAGAAGTTCAGAACTTTGGATCACCATTGTACTCATCCATTGATTTTACTAATGTGTCAGCAGATTCCTGGATAATGTCTTCCACCCTTCACCAGAGTTGCGGTGGGGGCATTCATGCAGCTGCCAGTCATGGAGTACGTTTCAATGACAACATTGTGTTTGGCACAGTTGGCCATGGAATTGATTTGGAGGGTCAGGCCTATTCTCTCACAAATAACCTTGTGGTTCTGATCACACAACCAGCATGGTCCACCATTTGGGTGGCGGGAATCAAAGTGAACCAGGCGAAGAATATCAACCTCTATGGCAATGTTGTGGCAGGATCCGAGAGACTTGGCTTTCACATCCGAGGCCAGAGCTGTTCCTCTTCTGAAGTGCTTTGGTCTGACAACGTGGCCCACTCAAGCCTTCACGGCCTCCATCTCTATAAGGAAAGTGGATTTGACAACTGTACTAGTATCTCTGGCTTCTTGGCTTTCAAGAACTTTGACTATGGCGCCATGCTACATGTAGAAAACAGCGTGGAGATAGAGAGGATCACTCTGGTAGACAATGCAATTGGTCTTTTAACAGTAGTATATGTGTCTTTTGAACCACAAAGCTTATTCGAAAATGTGCAGATTGTGCTTAGAAATTCGATCATTGTGGCCACCAGCTCCTCCTTTGACTGCATTCAGGATAGAGTAAAGCCTCACTCAGCAAACTTGACATCAACAGATCGAGCTCCCTCCAATCCAAGAAGGGGTCGAGTTGGTATTCTGTGGCCTGTATTCACTTCAGAACCAAATCGGTGGCCTCAGGAGCCATGGCACAAAGTGAGGAATGTCCATTCGATTTCAGGAATCATGAAACTTCAAGGTAGCATATTTGGGTTTATCTAAGCAATGTAGTTTTATACATACATTCATAGAATTTTAATAGCATTCTAAGATAATGTCAACTAAAACATACAGTGTAGTCTAGTCCTTGCTGTCCAACTGACAACCTGTTGGGTATTGATAACCACAATAATTGTTTATAATGACAATGATTGATTCCTTACAAAGTCATCTATATTGAAGAGCTTTCACAGCAATTATTTAACTTGATTACATGACAACTCTTTTAGGTAGTTTTAACATTTCCTATTATACAAGGAACTTGAGATACAGAAATTATGTCTCATCTGAGATTGCTTAGTAGTTGGTTAAGCAGCTAGAGTTAAAAATCAAAGTTATAGCACAACCTGTGTATCAGATCTCTTTGGCACTCTTGTACTCATTCTCCTTCACTTACTCTGTCTAATAGTTTGTTTGGCTTTCCATAAAATGTATGGGTTTTATTAAACCTTTGATAAAAAGTATTGCTCTTCAGGCTTTAATGTGTTGGAATACTCCTCTCTTTAGCATAACAATGTCTATGTATTGAATAATTACAGGTATTTTAAATCAAGATTTATGTAGACTCCTGAAAGTATTCTGGATAATTTAAACTAATTCCTAGTTACACATCACTATTAGAATACTTAGCTGTATAATTTATGCTTATTGTTGATGGATTACATGATATGTTATAATATATTTTTAAAATTTCAGATGTCACCTTTTCTAGTTTTGTGAAGAGTTGCCATAGCAATGACCTGGATGTCTGCATTCTGCCAAATGCAGATAACACTGGAATCACGCACCCAATAACAGCAGAGAGGACCAGGATGCTCAAGATGAGAGATAAAAACAAGTTCTATTTTCCTCCATTACAACTCAGGTATTATTTTTAGCATTTGTACAAAGCTGCATTTATGAAGTGTTCAACAATTCTTCAAACCCTTAAACATGTTTTAAAAAAGAGTAAAATCATCAAAGAAATAGACATAAATCCTAGAATGGTAAGGTACAATTATTTAATGTCCCCAGTTCTTTACCACTTTAATAATCATGCCTTTTGATTCAAGATTTTAAAAATATCTCTCAGTAAAGTGGCAGAAGCTATTCATCTCCCCTTTGAATCTCTACTCTGCCAGGTGACGTTCTTTGGCTAGCAAAGGGGCAGAAATATTGGAGTGCAAGTTTTATTGATACTGCTTTATTGTTTTGTCTAATTAGAGAGGCATCTTTGGGATGTTTTCAGAATCATTGGGAACAAATTGACCCTAATTCTTCACTCCTCCATGGAGTGCAGTGTTGGTATTCTTCAGACAGAGACCTGGGGAGCCTTTGTACAGGGGTTTGTAGATAGAAGGAGATCGTGTCTCCTGTCAGGAATCCCTGGACTGAACGATGAGGCTTAGACAGATATTGACATTCAGACCAAAATGTCTGTTTTAGGACATATCATCTGAGAATTTTATTTAAGGATCTGAAGACTAGATTGAGAATTATTTTGGCCTTAAGAATAAGTGGAAAGTTAGAATTCAGCAAGAAGACTGGGTTACTTTTATTTCCCCAAATCTAAAGAAACGACCCTAATTAAAAAGTTCATGTTTGACCTAATGCCAATCTCTTTTGTTGTCCTTCCCTGAACCATTTGAGGTACATAAACATGATTAGGTAGATAATTTGTGTTATTTTGTCATTTTTTTCTACTGTCTGACTTTTCTTGTGGACATGTCTTACCTATGGTCTGAAATAATTGTTAAATTACATGTTTTGGTCTGTTTGTACTGCTGTAGCAAGATACCATAAACTGGAAAACCCATAAAGAACAGCAATTTATTAAAGTTCTATGGGTTGAAGAGTCCAAGATTAGGGCATTGGCAAAATTGGTGTCTGGTGAGGGCTACTTTCTGCTTCCAAGATGGTACCTTGTGGCTGCATCCTTCACAGGGGTAGGGCACTGTTTCCTCACATGGTGGAAGAAATGAAAAGAGAAAAAGAGACCACTCTTCAACCTGAAGTCCTTTTGTAAGGGTGCTATCCCATTCATGAGGGCTCTACCTTGATGACTTAATTACCTCCCAAAGTCCACACCTCTTAATACTCTTGCATTGTGGATTAAGTTTCAACAGGAATTTTGAAAGGGCATCATCATTATAACCATAGTACTACAATATGTTAGCATCTGAGTCTTTTTACTGTTAATATCCAATACATGGTTGGCATGCAATAATTATTTAATATCTTCACTAATGATACATCAAAGTATTAGGCCAAAGGAAATAAATTCTCTACAATTCAATATTGTAATTACCTATTCCTTGTTTATATAGCTCACTTGACTTTAAATTCTGAAAGTGCAGGAACCATGTCTATATTATCATTGTCTTCCCCAACCTGTCAGTAGTAGGTTTGCAATAGTTTTTGTTGAATGCAAATATCTATTTTTACTTTGTTAAAAACACAAACATAATTGGTATTTATAGTAATAATCCTAAAATGCTGCCAAGACCTGATGTTCTATAGAAATAATTATATAATGTTCAGTAGATATTAGAGTTAGGGACATTTTATTGTATATTACTTCTTAGAAAATCAGCCATCTATGTAAAGATTGCATATCCAGATATCCAGAATATTTGATTAGTAAGAGTGTTTTCTTCTTGACCATATAACTGGGAAATAAATTATTTTATATAGGGTTTTATTTCATATGTATATAACACATTATTATTAATAAAATCCTGTTGAATTTATTTTACACATGATTAGCACTGTTGGCATATGTTTTCTTCTTAATGCTTATCATAAAATGAGAGAGTTGCTTTTGCCTATCTTCACAGGAAAGATGCAGGAAGAGGAGTTTGCCCTGAATCGGATTGTGCAAGTCCAAGAAAATATCTCTTCAAAGATCTGGATGGGAGAACCCTGGGTCTGTCTCCACCAGTTTCTGTGTTTCCCAAAACTGAGGCAGAATGGACAGAATCCTTCTTCAACACAGGTCAGTTGCGTTTGAATAAATACCTGGCAGCATATGTGTGAAGGAACTGGTTTGGCCGTGTTGTTCGGTGGGAACAAAACATATTGGAGAAGACTTGAGTTCTAGAGTTAGAGTCCTTGATAATCTGCTGCCAACTTAGCTGTATCACAGCAATGCTGAGTCATCATGAGATCTCACAACCTTACTGCTGAGCCCTCCATGAGATTGCCTGTGTTAAGGTTAAGGTGCAGATTCTTATCACCCAGCTCCGTGTACAGGAGGGAGAACAATCCTCTCCTTGACTCGGACAACTGTCACAGTGTCTGTTGTGGAACCAGCACCTCTGGCTTCTGAGATATTTTTGTGTTTCATCAGAACTTAAAGACTCAGTGGTAGGGTAGATGCCATGTGATTAGTCTCCCTTTTCTCCATCTTCCAACTGTCCCCTAAACTGGATTGTGCTCAGAACTCCTTCTTACTCTTCTCACTTATACAACCAAAGTGCCTTTCATATCAATTTTTACAGCTGGGCCCTTGGAGAAATCACAGTATTTCTATTTCCACTAGCAATGAGACTCTGAATCCCCATTTGAGTTCAGCTGAAACCTGCTACAGTCGGATGTAAAGAATTTTTTCTGTTTTCTCCCTGCCTTGTGAAACGATTGTTTTCTGGTCAATGTTGTCCTTTTTTTAAAATTTTGAACGTATGACTGTGTCCTCAGACCCTTGTCTTTCTTTCTCCAGTTTTGTTCTCATGTCTAAGGTTTAAATATCACCTAACGCTGATGACTTCCAATTTATATTGCCCAGAATTGACTGAGAAATTTGGTTCAGTCTATCCAGCCAACTCTACTTGAAAAAGTAATAGGTATCTCAGACTTAACATGCCTCAAATTGGTTGTTGATCTCTGCCCTCATTCACAACCTACTTCTTTCCTACCTGTCCTTCTTCAGTAATTGGTACCACCATTCATGAGGCTATTTTAGTAAGGAACCTAGGAGTGATTATTTATCCTTTTTCCTAACCTAAACTCTCACATTTCTCACTCCCTCTACCACTACCGTGCTAGTCTAGCCACCATCAACTTTCACCTGATGAGGGAATAGCTTTCTCACTGGTCTTCTTTCTTCCACTTCCGTACTGTTGCTTCTGTTTTTTTTTTTTTTTTAGAGCATAATTTATTTATTTGTTTGTTTAATATATATTTTTTATTTTAAATTGTGGGGTACAGTTAAGGGTTAGGTATACAAATATTCATTGTGCAGGTACCCCTGTTGATGAGGTGTGCCCCTATTTTGACAGACAGATATTGACTCCCGTTAATCCCACCTCCCTTCCCCTCCCTGTCCACCCCCATAGCTTCCCACCACTGTCAATCCTTTTCTTGTAGTCTTACGATAGTTGTTCAAGGTCCACTTATGAGTGAGAACATGTGATGCTCAGATCTTTGTTCCTGTGAGAGATCACTCAGTATTATAAACTCTAATTCCATCCAGGTTGCTGCGAAATTCATGATTTTGTTCTTTTTTATGACTATATAATATTCCATTGTGTATATGTACCACATTTGTTAAATCCAGTCCTCTTTTGATGGACAGCATGGTTGGCTCCATGATCCTGCTATTGTGAACAATGCTGCGATAAACTTACGTGTGCAGGTATCTCTTTTATAGAGTGATTTGAGTACTTCAGGGTATATTCCCAGTAGGGGGATTGCAGGGTCATATGGAAGGTCGATTTTTAGAGCTTTTAGGAATCACCACACTGATTTCCACAGAGACTGTATTAGTTTACATTCTTACTAACAGTGTAGAGGTGTTCCCTTTTCACCACATCCTCTCCAGCATCTATTATTTTTTGAGTTATCAATAATGGCCATTCTAACTGGAGTTAGGTAGTATCTCAGTGTACTTTTAATTTGCATCTCCTTGATGACTAGTGAGGTTGAACATTTCTTCATGTATTTGTTGGCTGCTCGTATGTCTTCTTTTGAGAAGTGTCTGTTCATATCTTTTGCCCACTTTGTAATGGGGTTGTTTGTTTTTTTCTTTTTAGCATGTTTGAGTTCCTTGTAGACCCTTGATGTTAGGCCTTTGTCAGACATGGAGTTGGCAAATACATTTTCCCAGTTTGTGTGCTGTCTCCCTGCTCTCTTGATGGTTTCTTTGGCTTTGCAGAAACTTGTCAGTTTAATGAGGTCCCATTTGTTTATCTTATCTCTATGGCCTGTGCATTTTGGGTTTTGCTCAGGAATTGTATGCCAGTTCCAACTTCCATAAGCATGTGTCCTGCATTTTCTAAAGTTCTTATGGTTTGAGGTTTTACATTTAGGTCTCTGATCCATTTAGAGTTAATTTTTTTGTATGGTGATTGATAGGGGTCCTGTTTGAATCTTCTGTATGTGGTCAGCCAGTTTTCCCAGCACCATTTTCTGAATAGGTTCTCGTCTCTCCAGTGGTGGGTGGTGGAGGCTTTGTCGAAGATGAGTTGCTTGAAAAATTGAGGTTTTGCTTCTGGAATCTCAATTCTATTTCATTGGTCTATATGCCTGTTCTTGTACCAATACCAGGCTGTTTTGATTATTGTAGCTTGATAGTAAAGTTTGAAGTCTGGTAATGTGATACCTCCTGCTTTTTTTTTTTTTTTTTTGCTGAGGATTGTTCTGGCTATTCTTGGTCATTTGTTTTTTCCATATGAATTCCTGTATTGCTTTTTCTAGATCTGAGAAGAATGTTGCTGGTAATTTGATGGGTATTGCATTAAATCTATAGATTGCCTTAGGTAAGATGGACATCTTCACAATGTTGATTTTCCCAGTCCATGAGCATGGGATATTTTTCTACTTGTTTGTATCATCTTTGATTTCTTTGAGCAGTGTTTTATAGTTTTCATTGTAAAGGTCTTTCACGTCCCAGGTTAGGAAGATGCCAAGGTATTTCATTTTGTTTGTGGCTAATGTGAATGGGATTGTGCTTTTTATTTGAGTTTTTTTTGTTTGTTATTGATGTAAAGAAATGCAATTGTCTTTTGCATATTTATTTTATACTCTGAGATTTTGTCAAAGTCCTGTATTAGTGCAAGGTTTTTGACAGATTCTCTTAGGTTTTCAAGGTATACAATCATGTCATCTGCAAAGAGAGATAGCTTGACTTCCTCTTTTCCTATTTGGATACCCCTGATTGCCTTCTCTTTTCTTATTGCTCTAGCCAGGACTTTCAATACTATATTGAACAGGAGGGATGAGAGTGGGCATCATTGTCTTGTTCCAGTTTTTAGGAGAAATGGTCCAGTTTTTAGGAGAAATGGTTTCAATTTTTGTCTGTTTTAGAGTATGTTGGCTGTGGCTTTGTCGTAGATGACTTTTACCATTTTGAGGTATGTTCCACGTATGCCTAGATGGTCGAGGGTTTTTATCAAGAAGGGGTGCTGGATTTTATCAAAAGCTTTTTCTGCATCTAATGATATAATCATGTGGTTTTTGTTTTGATGTCTGTTGATGTATTTAATTACATTTATGGTCTTATGAATGTTGAACCAGCCTTGTATCCCAGGGATGAAGCCTACTTGGTCATGATCAATGATTTTTGAGATGTGTTGTTGAATCCAGTTTGCTAGGATCTTGTTGAGAATTTTAGCATCTATGTTCATCAAAGATATTGACCTGTAGTTCTCTTTCTTTGTTGGGTCTTTACCTGGATTGGGTATCAATGTGATGTTAGCTTCATAAAATGATTTGAGGGGAGTTCCATCTTTCTGAATCACTTGGAACACTTTCAATAGGATTGGTAAACGTCTTATAGAATTCTGCTGGAAAGCCATCTCATCCAGAACTTTTTTTTGTAGGTAGTTTTCTTATTATATTGTCAATTTCCTTGATTTTTATTGCTCTATTTAGGGTCTCGATTTCTTCTTGTTTCAACCTTTCAATCTAGACAGGTTGTGTGATGTCAGAAAGTCCTCCGTTTCCTTAAGGTTTTCAAGTTTGTTTTCATAAAAGTGTACATAGTAGTCTCTAATGATCTTTTGTATTTCTTCAGGGTCAGATGTGACTTCATCTTTTGTGTTTCTGATTGTGTTTATTTGGACTTTTTCTCTCTTTTTCTTGGTCAGTCTAGCTAGGGGACCACTGATCTTGTTTATCCTTTCAAAGAACCAGCTTTTTGTTTAGTTGATTTTTTGTATTATCTTTTTGTCCTCTATGTACCAGATTTGGGCTTTTATTTTGGTGATCTAGAAACTTATGCTGAATTTAGGGTTTTGGTAGTCTTGCTTTTGCAGCTTTCTTATGTGACTTGTTAGGCTGTTAATTTGTAATCCCTCCATTTTCTTCATGTGCGTTTGTAGAGATATGAATTCCCCTCTTACTACAGCTTTCATGACATCCCAGAGATTTTGGTAAGATGTTTCTTCATTTTCATTTGTTTCCAGGTATCTTTTAATCTCTGTTTTGATTTCATCATTCACCCAGGAGCCGTTTAGCATCATACTGTTTAGTGTCCATGTTTTTGTGGGTTTTGTGGGAACCTTGTTGGCATTGATGTTTATTTTTATTCCACTGTGGTCTGAGAAGGTGCATGGCAAAATTTCGATCTTTTGAAATTTGTTTATGCTTGATTTATTTCCAAATATGTGGTCAATCTTAGAGTATGTTCCATGTGGTGATGAGTAGAATGTATATTCTGTTGTTGTTGGGTGGTGTGTTCAGTAGGTATCAATTAAGTCCACTTGGTCAAGAGTCACTTTGAGGTTCTGGATCTTGATGCTGATTTTTTGTCCTGAGGATCTGTCTAAGGTTGTGAGTGGGGTATTAAAGTCTCCAGCTATGATAGTGTTAGCACCAATATCTTTTTTGAGTTTACCTAGAAGCTGCTTTATGAAAGTTCATTCTCCTATGTTGGGTGCATATATGTTTAGGATGGATATTTCTTGTTGATGGATTGAACCTTTTATCATTGTGTGGTGGCCTTCTGTATCTTTTTTAATTTTTGATAGCTTTAAAGGTTTTTTGTCTGAGATTAAGATTGTAACTCCTCCTTTCTTTTGTGTTCTGTTTGCTTGAAA